AGATTGTGTTGGAGCAGTCCATAATCGGCCAATCAGGAGAGCTTTGACTGCGACTCCATTGATCTTGATCTGTCGCTGACACTAAACATTCAAGTCGATACTCAAGGCTAAAGGTCAAATGTCTGTTTGTACTAAACTTCCATAGCTGAATCACTTGATTATATCACTGACCCTGTTAAGCTATTTAAAAAAATATGATAATAAAAAAGTGAGATTTAAAAAAAAATGCCAGTCCTTAATGCAACTTGCCTTAAAAATATAAACAGCTACCAAAGTTCGTCTTGTCTTTGGATGTAGCAGGATTTAAGTTATTTGAAATGAATGACATATTAATTCAGAGTCACAGTATTTATTAAACTATATAAAAATTTATTTTTATAAAATAATAATTTGACATGTAGTTTGTTCTTTACTTGTGCTTTTACACAATAGTGGTGTATGAACCTGTTATGACCAGAATATCAGGTTTCAGCAACACTTATTTATTCTGGTAAGTAAAATTCAAACAAATTAAGATTGTGAAAACAGAAAAGGACAGCAGAATTTGAGAGGAAAGCAAGATTGTATACATTACAAAAATGGCTGTCAGTTTCTGTGAGCATTCAAATGTTTCAGCTTTTGCCTTTTAAAAACGTGTCTTTAAAATAAAATATGGATAAAATCTCAAAATATGTTTAATATTGTATGTTATTTGTCTTGTGTAAAATTAATTTCTTTACATTTTTGTAACTTGTTTTAATCAAAATATCTCAATCTTCTGACAGACTTGAATAATTTCGTCTTTTTAAATTGAGCAGCGAGGTTCATGTCATGTCAGTTACAGGAAACGCTTATCATGTAAACAGCAGTCATTAGGAGAAAAGTAAGAAATATTAAAAGATGGAGAGCATGTAAACTGGGGTCGCATGGTGGCTCAGAGTCCCGGCAGGGTTAGTTGGCATTTCTATGTGGAGTTTCATGCTCTCCCCGTGTTCGTAGTGGTTTCCTCCAGGTGCTCCGGGTTCCCCCACAGTCCAAAGACATGCGCTATAGGCGACTTGAAGAAACTAAATTGGCCTTAGTGTGTGTGTGTGTGATTGAGTGTGTATGAATGTTTCCCAGTGTTGGGTTGCAGCTGGACGGGCATCCGCTGTGTACAACATATGCTGGAAGTTAACGGTTCATTTTGCTGGGGTGACCTCTGATGAATAAAGGGACTAAGCTGAAGGAAAATGAATGAAGCATGTAAACTGGAGTGATCAGGAGATGGTGAGATAACATTATTTGCTCCTTTTATCATGTATTTGTAAATTTGTCTTTGTTTTCCTGCCTTTGCACATCTTGTGAGGCTTGATACAGCTAAAGATATACGTGGCGACATTTTTTATAACTGAAAAGAATGTGCTGTGTGAAAAGGCAGCCTGGTGTTTGTCCAATCAGCGATTACAAATATGTGAATGAGAATGTTAACCTGGGGTTTACGGATGTGAAACGGCTACTGGCGAATACCCAGGATTATTTGTTAACCCCAGTCAAATTAAGTGCAGTGTGAAACATGATTACAGATAATCCAGGATTATATTTATCCACTGTTTTAAACCCCAGGTAAGGACATGCTTCACACCTGTTATTTAAAAGCATCGTTATACCCAGGGTTACTAAAACTCTGGTCTGGAGCAGGGTTATCATCACATTAATGGTGTTAACCTCGCATAAGGACTTTTCACACTTTAAATTGTTATCCCTAGCTGGGTCATACTAAACCCTTGATAAATTTGAAACGTATGAGTTTGTCAACAAGACGTTAACACTGATGTGGACCATTGTTACAAAGTAGGAAAATAAACTGAACAATTACATGAAATTGAACAATAATAACCTGAAGATGGCAGAACATTTGACGTCCATGTTGACATCTGTGAGTAAAAGGCAATCTGCAACTCTATCTTTAAAAAAGAACACAATTGATAATTTGTCTGTAAATGTAGCAGGATTTAAGTTTTTTTTAATTAATTACATTTTATTTAGAGTCAGTATTTACCATACTGTGTCACAAGTGTGTGTGTGTGTATATGTATATGTATGTATGTATATATATATATATATATATATATATATATATATATATATATATATATATATATATATATATATATATATATATATATATATATATATATATATATATATATATATATATATATATACAGTTTGAAGTCAGAATTATTAGCCCCATTCAAAATTTATTTCTTCTTTTTTAAATATTTTCCAAATTATGTTTAACAGAGCAAGGAAATTTTCACAGTATGTCTAATAATATTTTTTCTTCTAGAGAAAGTCTTATTTGTTTTATTTCAGTTAGAATAAAAGCAGTTTAAATATTTTTCAACACCATTTTAGGGACAAAATTATTAGCCCTTTTAAGCAATTTTTTTTCCTCGATAGTCTACAGAACAAACCATCGTTATACAAAAACTTGCCTAATTAAGCTAACTTGCCTAGTTACCCAAATTAACCTAGTTAAGCCTTTAATTGTCACTTTAAGCTGTATAGAAGTGTCTTGAAAAATATCTAGTTAAATTTTATTTACTATATATATATATATATATATATATATATACACACACACACACACACATATACATATATATCTATATATACACACACACACACACACACATATATATACACACACACACACACATATATATATATATATACACACACACATATATATATATATATATATATATATATATATATATATATATATATATATATATATATATATATATATATATATATATATATTTGCCATGATGACAAGAAATATTTTTTAACTTAATTTGACATATTTTGTTCTGTACTTTTACCATGTATGGTTTCTGCAACACTGTTATTTATTATGGCAAATTATATTTCAACTACACTGTTTTTAAAACAATTTCAGTTTTTTGAGTATATCCATCTCTCTTTGCCCACTGATTGCCATTTTGGGGATTTTTGCAATCTCACATAATCTTACAAAGATACAATCTGAGTGCATTGCTTTTATTGTGCTCCTGACCACACACTATTATTGCTGAGGTGGAAGGATCAGAAACCTCCAATCTCAACACAGTAGATTTGTGATGTCCTCTTCTTCCTAAAGTTGGAAAATTTGGGACCCATTTAGGAAATCTATCTACGAACATGTTTTATTGTTAAATATAGATCAAGTCCTTTTTTTCTTAGTTCAAAGTAGAGTGTATTGTGTAAAACAGATTGACAATTGCAGTTTTTTTGTTAAGCCATATTATTTACCTTTTTATTTGTTGGTATGTTTTTTTCTTATTTTATTTTATGTACTTAAGTTGGTACTATCTACACCGTTTTTAAAGTATAATTGTTTTTGTTTGTTTTTTACTGTAATTTGCCATAATATTTATAAATACAATTATTTAAAAAAAAAAAAAATCTTCAAACTAAGGGGTGGCACGGTGGTTCAGTGGTTACCACTGTCACTTCACAGCAAGAAGGTCACTGGTTCGAGTGCCGGCTAGGTCAGTTGGCGTTTCTGTGTGAAGTTTGCATGTTCTCCCCGTGTTCGCGTGGGTTTCCTCCAGGTGCTCCGGTTTCCCTCACAGTCCAAAGACATGCACTATAGGTGAACTGAATAAACTAAATAGCCGTAGAGTATATGTGTGCGAATGAGAGTGAATAAATGTTTTCTAGTACTGGGTTGTAACAGGAAAGGCATTTGCTGTGTAAAACATATGCTGGATTAGTTAATTTCTTTGTGGCGACCCCTGATAAATAAAGGGACTAAGCTAAAGGAAAATGAATGAATATTCAAACAAATCATAAAAACATAAAATTAAAGCAGAATATAAAAAAAGCAAATGGGTGTCACAGATTTTGTGAGAATTTAGTTTTAGATTTTGCTTTATAAATACAATTGTTGAAATTGAATTGTTTCTGTGCATTTAGTTATGTAAATGCCTACCTTGGCTTTTACCAAATTTGTAAATTTATAATTGGCCAATCCTCACAGTCCTACTTTTTTTTCGTTTGCAAATCTCACACGTATTTATAAGGCAGTGATATGAGAATTTATCGTTACTTCTGTTTCCATTTTAAATCGTTTTTTCCCTCTACATAATGCATTTGAAGTGTTGGCACAGGAAACAATGGATGCAGCTCTTTAATTTCATCGCTATACATGTTAAGTATTCTAATCCTTGACGAGAACTTGTTTATTCGCAGGTTCATTAGGATGTAGTGCTCAATATTGATCGTGATGGCTTGATTGCGAGGCATGGAGCACGGCTCAGAAAACCACCTGCTCACTTCATTAAAATGCATTTATTCAGTTTGGTGTTCACTTCTGGGTAGGGGAGTCTAAAATGCCGTGGGAGAGAGACAGATGGCTGGTGGTCTATTTTGACATGGTATGCCTTGTCTCCGTCTAGGATCTACAACAAGCTACAACTGGTGGACGATTATATCGGAATCAGGGCAACGGAATGCGTTTGTGTGTGATTTAAAAATCTAGGCCGGTTGGTTGGGTTAAATGCGCAAGTTGAAAATGATTAGTTTTGTCTCCAATGACTTTTATTTTGCATTTTCAGCTCTTAGCTATGGGAATCACTCTGCCAAATTGGAGCTTGGAGCATCCTTCAGGGCTCGCCATTTACATGCAGGTACTTCTCCCTGTTCAAAATGTTTTTGATTATTTTTATACAGAACTTTAAATGACGGAGGTCATCGAATATTTGGGTTAGTCTTTTTAAACATTCACAGATTTTTGTCATCTACAAAAGGTGTCCAAGTAGAATTTCAGACTCATCAAGAGTTTTTTGTGTGTGCGTAAATGTTTCATTTTCTTTAAGGAATGAATGGGCTACATTCTCATTAACATATTTAGTTGCCATGACAACTGAACGTAGAGAGCACACGAACTGAGGACATCCACATGAGAAGACACGCTGACCAGAACACATGGTTATTTCTTAAAACAAATTAATCAATAGAACAAAACAACAGATTTATAAAACATTTAATTTACATTTTAAATATTTTTTTCAGAGAGAGCAGACAAAGAAAGAAGAAGAGCTGAGGGTGAGAACTGTGCATCAGTTTTGGGATCTCTTCACGGAACCATCCACATTCAAAGACAATCAGTTCTCTTCTCGCACAGACATCGCCGGAGTCATCAGAGGTATTTGATAAGAGGCTGGGTTTCAAACGGTGTTGGTGAAACTGTTACTGCAGCAAGTTTTTGGGGGGCAACGTAGGATAACCTGTGAACATCTCATGTCCTTCCCACACATAATGCCACTTTGTATAAAATGCAAGTCTCTTTCAAGACACTGGAGGTTTGGAACAAAGTGACCTGAACGCGGAGTCCGAAAAGGCAGCAGACTCTTGAGTTTTGTATACAAATAAGGCATTGTGGGTTCATTGACCAAATGGGAGAACGGAGAAACTGTTCAGATCTTTAAAAGAAGCCAAGTAAACAAGCCTTCAGTCTAGACTAAACGATCATTTTAAAGAGACTTAACAATAACAACAGATACCAACAAAACTAAAGCGGTTTATATTTACAAAAGCTTTCCTTAATCTTACAGATCATCGTGAAACAATGAAAGAAAAGTACAAAGACAACAAAAACAGTCAAATGCTGACACTTCATCAACAGTAAAACAACAGATTGCTGTTTGTGCGCAGGTTATATCTTTGACATACAGTCATTGGTGACAATGTAGACTAAAAAGAACAGTTTGAACACCCATTTAAAGTAATAAGTCACTCGGAAATGAAAATTCTTTGATAATTCATTCACCCTCATGTCTTTTGAGCTCCATATGGCATGCAGCACAATGTGAAAGCTGCTCTTTTTCATACAAAGAGTTTAATACAAAGGCAAAACTATTATAAGCTGTCACCCAAAGCTATCATATGGCTTCAGAAGACTTAAAATATACTGCACAGGTTGTATGGGCTATATGTATGGTGCTTTTAGGAGCTCAACAAACCTTATATATAGGATGTATTGAAAGAGAACAGCTGAGACATCCTGCATGAGGGTGGGTAACTAATTTAGAATTTCCAAGTCAAACATCCCTTCAAACAATAATCATATACATTTATCAAGGGATATTTGTGATGTGACATTAGATCATGATTACTGCTGGTACCAGTGTTCCGCTTTTCTCTGGATAGGTTTATCAGAGGACCCCAAAATAAACTTTCAGAGTAGTCATCATCTGTATTGAAACACCAACAGAATAGATTTTTTGAAAAGAAACAGGAAAGCAATGGGGGGAAAATAGTGAAGAGGTCAAATTCTTGCCTATCAAACATGGCGGCTATGTAGTCACTTTTGCCAAATTTTATTTCCACCATGCTCACCTTATTTTCACCATGGGCACTGTTTTATCTAGTCATACAACCATGAAATTCAGAAGATACCATTTACATTGCCACATACATTTGCTATGGTTCCACTCCATGTCCTGGGAGGAAAACCACAGTAGTCAGTGCAGTTTTTTTTACATATATAAGTTTCTGAGGCAAATGTTACACCATGCCCAGACTCTTTCCAAGTTAGCATTTTGATTCCATTAAACTAGATTCATTAGTCAAGATTGGATTTTGGGCCGGACAGGGGGCATCCCAGGGAATAAATGTGGTAATCCACAACCGGAACATTACCCTAGATATTTTCTGAAGGATGAGGTGTTTGAATCCTTGAAGCGTGCAAGAGAAAATCTCCATTGCACCAATTCCTTCAACTGATTGCCAACACCTCCACACTCTCCTCTTCATCTCCAGAAGAGCTCCAGCCATCGGTCTAGCACACTATATTTTAATTGGGAAGTGTGCAATGGTTTAGCAGATGACTCTTGAACAGAAATATACACAAATGTATACATCTCCCAACCATTGTCTTCAGAATCTGCAGTCTAATAGAGAGCAGAGGCTGTCCAAGATTTGGTTTACAGGAAAAAGTCCTACTCTGCCACCTCAGCACATAGAGATGGTCACGTTGATACCCAAGTTGCCATTGTCTGCAAACAGATGGGCAATGGAGGTATCAAAAACAAGACAGTCACTGTTCATGATGGCCGCTGCAACACCGTCATGGATTGAACGTGGTGTGGCCTCCCACGTGAGCCGCCTACGGTTGCCATTCAACTCGAGGCGGTAGGCAAAGTTCTCTGCTTGCTTCCGTGTGCCAATGAGCAGCACGATGGCGAAGAACTGTTGGTGTCCTTCGTATTTTTCCTGCTTTTCTAGAACCAGCATGAAGTGGTGGCCGAAACACGATTGCATCATGACCCAGTCCACTGCCCCAGGTAGGTTGATGTCCGTGGCCAGAAAGACAATGTCCTCACCCTGCAGGGTGGTAATGGATTTGTGGGCATGCATGAGATGTGGCATGACTTCCTCCAGGGAGCCCTGCCATTTACAGGAGGCCCCTGGACACGGGCAAGTGTACGGACGAAACTCACACACTTCTTCATGCTCTGGCTTCTCGCTGTGGTGAAGAGACAGCAGACATCCAGCTGAGGAATACTGTGGGAAAATAAAAACATAAATGGGTTACTTCTGGGAAGAGGGAAAAACTAAATGATCTAAATGGACCAAGTGCTCAGGTAAGTAATGGGAAAACACAGGAAGAGTAACTGATGATAAAGGACAAAGACAGAATTGTGGAAAAGATTAGTGGAAGGCTGAGGAATGGAGAGAGGACAAAGGGAAAAGGGGAAAAGTAGGATGATGATGGGATTTCAGAAGGGCAGATAAAGGACACAGTAGACAGGGAATTATATACGAGTATAGCAAAGAGGGAACTAGGCCATGTGCTGAGATATGTCAGTATCATTTGAAGCGAATCCATAAATTACATAGTGTGATCAGTCTATTCTTGTGTGTACTTGCCACAGAAGCAACGTTGGTGCTAATCATGCGTCAAGCTGTGACAACCCTCTCATTTTTTATTCACATGTCCATACAGTTTGGGAAAATGAGTGGGACGGATCGTATTACTTGGAGATGAATAGCACAGCAAGGCTCTCTCTTTGATTATCTCAGGAAAGGCATATTGGTGAAGGTCAAATATGAATGTTCCCCCCAATCTGTTCACTTTGCTTGAAATGTGTGCACTGCATGACTTTCATGGCACTCTTAAGACCAATATTTATCTCTGGCCTACAGGATTAGACTTGCAACAACAAAAGCTGAAATACAATAAAGACCTGATAAATGCCCTTTCCAAGGAATTTAATCAGCTTAGCAGAACTGCAATAAAAGACAAAGGTATTCAACTCTAATTATGGGTAAAGGTTTAAAAGTCACACCAATCATACACAAAAGCAAAAAAAGTATGACAATTCCTGCATGAATGGGCCAGGAAAAGGGTAAACTTACTAGCTTTCTAACAAAGGGTCAACACAATTATGTCTAGACAGTGAAGATCTAATACCAAGTCAGAGTAATTATCAAACACGCACACAAAAAAAAACTAATTTAAAGATTTAGGTAGAAAACATTTTCAAGTATTATCTGATTCCTTATTAAGTTTCCTGAAATCAATTAAAATCCTTATTAATTAAAGTAAAATCTTTGTGCCACAGGACAATCCTATTCTATCAAGTTAGTGCAAGGCTGGAGGTGTGGGTGTTTAGCCCAGGCAACGCCCCCACCAAGGGTGCGCTTCAATATCTGCCAAATTAATTATTAATCTGAGTGGTAAGTCACTAGCTGCCTAGCAAAAATCAATGAGTGACAGCCGTTATCCAGTGGGCCAGAAGGCCCCAGAGGCCGTAACTGCCTTAAAACACTGACATTTATTGTCAAAAGCCGTTAAGAAGCAGCAGCTTGGGAGAAAGAATCATTGGATCTCCTTCACGATACACTGGGTTTTCCAAACTGTCTTTTCATTAAGACATGGCCTGTGTCCAAATATCCTCGAATTCATTTCGCTAATCCTTCCCTCATTTCCCAGCCTTTTCTTTTATAAATCAAACAATCTGACTTCTGGAGGTGTTAAAGATTCATGTGTCCCATTTCTTCCCTTTCAATCAGACAGTTATCCTCTTATCTACCTTTTTAATGAGAGAATGACAGGATTTGTTTTGAACGGTAATCCTACGGTTGTACGGTAGAGATAAAGCCTCTGTCTGGAGACTGTTGGAGCTTTGGGTATTTGCTGTATCTGGTAGAAAGGCATAGTATCGAGTAGTTGTTTAGGGTACACCGATTAGCGTGTATGTAGTCAAAACCCTCAGCCATTACTACAGCCTATTCCAGCTGTGAGCTTTGCAAAACAACCTCGTATATCACTTTCCTTGCATTGATTAGCTCCTAGGGTGAACAACTTAACTAATTCAGCGCCACAGCAGAATGTCTGGTCAACAATTGCTGAGCTCAAGTTCAAATAAATTCCGATGAACAGAACTAATGACAAACAAAAACAATTTGTCACTGTTAACTAATGAAATTGTCCATCTTCCTAGCCTTGTTCACTTTAATTAAAACTTTAAATGTATAACCAGCATGCATTGCTCTAGAGACCTGATGAAATAATAAGTGAAGTGCTCTTCTAGTACACCCTTGATGCTGTGCCAAGCTAGCCCTGTGGAGACGCACAAGACCCTGAGCTTAGCTACTGAATTATTTACACATTTCCGCATTTAAGTTGCAAATTATATCTTGCCACTTTAACCAAGAGGGGAAGTCATTGCAGATGCTTATTTTGATGAATGCCAATAAATTCTGACAATTTATTAATTGGTTTAGTGTGTTGAAATAGATTAATTTAATCAAATTAACATAAGAAACCAGAACATAAAAAGGGCATGTAAAAATCAGTCTTCACAGGGTGTTTTCTTTAAGGTTAAGTCTTTCCCTAGGCTGAAATACTTGACATTCTAATTAGTCTAGCTGTGTGGAGCTTCATTTTTGCATTTCTTAATGCATAACAAATTAATCCTACACCTTAAAGGGCTATGAAACCCCCTCGTTTCAGCAGGGTGTTTTCACACCTCTACTTTGGAAAAAGTCAGAAAAGTGGGCGTGTCCAGCTCTGTTTAGGGGGGTGTCGGAGGAACTAAAGTGGGAAGGTGTGGGAGTGTCTGTTTGGGCACGCGCGAGTTTCAGAGTCAAAATGAACACACACACACACACACACACACACACACACACACACACACACACACACACACACACACACACACACACACACACACACACACACACACACACACACACACACACACACACAGACACACACACACAGACACACACACACACACACACACACACAGACACACACACACACAGACACACAGACACACACACACACACACACGAGAAAGTGATGGTGTTTACATGGAGATCTGTAGTCGAATTATTTGCCAAATTATTAAACGGTGGACTTTAACTGCAGTTTGGGTCTTTCATTCAGGGAATTCATTCATGCCCCTCGCGACAAACGAGATATTTGATTCGAGGAACTGCTCCAAGCATGTATTTTTCACTCAATGTTTGATACCGCACGGCGAATGAGAGAAAAAAAAACCCTCAGCATTTCCCGGAAACTTAGATGCAAAACTTAGAAACTTAGATGTAACAAAATGCGGTGAAAATCCTACACGAGGTTAAAGTTTGGTTGTGGTATTAACATGTTTACACTCAATAGTTAACTTAGTTCGATACGAACAAAATGAATACACAAAAAGAACTGGTCGCTCACTTACCAAATCTGTAGAGACAGGACAATCACCAGCAACTAGAGCCGCGTCTTTATTAAGAGGAGACTACAAGCGAATCTGGATCTCAGCGTTTGCAGATGAGAACAGCTCTCAGGTAAACAATGTTCCTCCTTAGACATGTAAGTTATTGTTGTCGCGCGTCGCGTACACTGTTAATCCACACGTGAGTCTGAGCTCTCACAGAGAGAAAATTAAAACGAAACTTAACGGCAGCAAACTATAAAAGCAACACTTCACGCTTGTTTTGCCAACACAACGTGGTGTGTCTGTCGTCTAAACACTGTGACAGTAATGAATATTAATGAAGTTGCACAATAGAGCGCGCTGATTGGTTTGATTCAAGCCTTACTCATGCATTAATGCATCACACTGTAAGACGTAATAAGACACACTCTGGCACAGACGTCCAGTCTGCACGCTGGAATACACGCTATTATGTCATGACCGTGACGCAGCTTCAAAAATTCGTTTCAAACCGGAAGTACGAATTTGCTTGAAATAACGCAAAAACAACCAATTTACACTTTTTAGTGAAATATAGTGTCCTAATAGTGTTTTTAGCAGTGTGGGACACATACGCATGTCAACAGCTCAAAAAATGTGTTTTGGTGTTTCGTGACCCTTTAAGAGAAAACCATAAATACTTCACTGCAACCATTTTGTCTTAAAAGGTCAAACAAAAAAGACTTGCAAGATTCAAATAGGGTTTACTGAAAGCATCCAAGAAATTTAAGAAGCTTTAAGAAAACATCAAGCTTTAAGAAAACATTGTACTCTGAGTACCATCCAGTTCAAGGGTATCTTTCCCCAATTGACTGATGCCTTGACCTACACTGTTGACAGTTGAGAAGAGCTAGGTAGCCTCGTTTCAAGAAACTATTGATGATTCGCATACACCTATTCAGAGCAAATGAATGAGGCAGGCAGGCTTATCTCTCCTCCATTAACAAGCAGGAGGACCTTGAGTTGCCATCACCAAAGTGTCAGTTGAAAAGGATGGTGTCTCGGCTCTCAGATCCCCAGAGAGGGAACCCAGGACAGACAAGATGGCATCATTACCATCTCTTCCTCCCTTCTCCCTCAAGGACAGGGTGAGCGCATATGAAATGGCAAGAGGAGCACTCCTGAGACCAAGAGAGGCCACAGTCATCTTGGACTATTCTTATAAGACACAATGTCAGCACATGACCTCATCGCTGCTGGGAAGCAGTCGGGCTCCTGTCATAATTACAATCATCTCTGTGGGGGCTTTCGAACAGCCCAAACGAAAGGCTTGTGCATCAGGCACTGAGAAATCGGATTTCTCCTGATCAGCGGCAGGCCGTCACAACCACTTCAACTGGAGCAATGGAAGCCTAGACACTCGCTTTCCCACTCTGGAATCAATAGCAATTTAGTTAAAAGTTGGAAAGCTGAAATCGGCCTAGTGAAGGCCAGAGTAATTAGGTTAGAAAGGGGGAGGGGGATTCTTGCTTGCCAGCTTCTCGCTCTAGGCTCGGTTCTTCAATTACATTTAATGTTTTTACGGAGCAATTAGTGTAATGTGTCTGTATGAACAGTATAATCTGCATTGAGCTGGAAAGAAATGGCATCTGAGACTTGGTACTATTAGGACATTTTAAGTGTGACAAAGGGGCTGCAAAGTATTGACTTTACAATGCAGAAGCAAGTTATATTCTGCGATTGTTTTAGAACTTCTGATTCATTTGCCATTGGAGAAAGCACTAGGAATAATAAACAATCAATTAATAAGAAAATACAAGTTTGTATCAGAGCGTAATAAGCTGTTTTTATAGATAAAAATCCATTCAAAAATCTCAACCCAATAAGGTTCCAATGACTGCCCCTGCTCATACATGAAAGAAAAAGGTCGATATCTGTCCAGCATTGGCATTTGTAATGGTCATATTGGTGGATGTGTGATATCAAGTAGCTAGTATAGTTAAGCAGGCAACAGTTTAGAGAATGTTATTAGTGGATTAAATGGCAAAATCAACCAGAATAAAAGGCCTATAGGTTTAAACATTCCAAGTAAGTTTGAAGAATTCTGGTGAAGTAATCAACTTTATAGCTATAATTGTATTTCATACAGTGAGGACTATGCAGTATTTTACATTTGATTATTCTCTTTCTACTTCTGTTCTCCTAGAAACAAAGCACGGGATATATTATTTAGTATCTTTGTTATGTCGTACTTATCTTTGGCTCAAAGTAAAAGAAATCAATCATGCAATAGTCTAATCATCATTCTAAAATAATTGTTTCCTAATTGGTGAAATCGTTTCTCATCACAATATATCACAGGAAATCAAAATGTTGTGGTCCTCAAGTAACATTAAAATGTATTTTGAGAATAGTTTTATAATAGGCTTTTAAAACACAATACGATTTTTTTTATAATGCAGGCTTTGAGGCTAGTTTCTTTGCAACTTTATTGTTATAAAATGTCCACTTTAATATTATGTTTTACAACTATAATTCCTATATACAGTGCTAGTTTATTCATGCAAGTAGCGTATTGACCTTATTCTTAAATGCGGAAGTGCGCCTGTTTTCGCGATTGTCTTAGAACTTCCGCTTCAGTCGCCTATGGGAGAAATGAAAAGAAATAATAAACGGCAAAAAACGGTCAAACTACTTGCTCTACAAACAAATGTTTGCATGACTATACAGACCAAGTAGAATAGTATAACAAGGAAATATCAGTTTGCAACAAACAACGAAACAAGCAGTTTTTAATGTCTAAAATGAATGGAAGTGAATGAAACTGGAAGTCTCGTGCCAAAAAGATTCAAATGGCAGCGCCCACTCGTCTGCGGAGAATAAGGTCAATATGAAATGGGTTAATGCCCCATTCTGTTCCGAACTTGCCAACACATTTAACTAGATAACTTCTTTTATCACATTTAAATCTATGGTTTGCTGTAGAAGTAAATGTGTAGGCTTTATGCCAGCTGACACGTGGAAACAAGAAAAACACTAATATTCTAGTGGTGTAGTCCTACGCACATATACTCACTTTTTTCCACAAGCTGTTTGGGTATTACGACTTCTGAGAATCATAACCTCGGTATACTCACTTGGTTTTAGTGATTAGACTTCCCTAATTTTTGTGTATTGAGTTTGAGTTTTTTGAAGATCACAACAAATCAGCTGAATGGGGTCTCGCTGTAAATGTTTAGCCCTCCTATATTTCCATTCAGCCTCCCTTAAAACTTTTGTGATTACCTTCTGAACTGTACACTACTAACTGATCGCCTCAGTCCCCTTTAAATTTGATATAAAAACGGCGGCAGAATCCCGCTCCTAAACTTGTTTTTCAGTTAGTCAGCAAACCCCAGCTGTACAGACTGTGAGCACAAGGTGTGTTTATCAATAGATTGTTAGAATATCTGCATATTTGCAGTTCTTTGCTATAGAAACACTTGTTTCCTTGTTTGATACATCAAATGAATCAAAGACACATTGACTTTTGTTGTTTCTTTGACTACTTTTAAAATTTGGATTGGGTGGGTAATAGTACACCACCTTTTTTTTAAGGACTACACCACTGCTAGTAATCCACAATGTATTGCCTGCAATATTGTTATCTGATGACAAATGCTTATTTTCAGTACAGAATTAAATGATTGGCTGATAAATGATGGATTTTTTTTTTATTGCCGGTTGAACCATGTGCACTGTTGCTGGCCATAAGCCTTTTGATAGATGCAAACTGCAGACGCACACTTTACATTCCAGCTTTTGCTGGAGGGGGAACAAGATTTCAATATTGTATACATCTATCACCATGAAAAAAAAGAGGCTTCCAGACTTGCAGTTTGTAAAAATGTAAATCATTATGAAATGTCCTTTTTAAGATATTTCTTTGCAGTTTTACTGTATTCTGCAGTTAATGTTTTAAAATAAAACCAGTTTTCCACAGTATCTGTATCCATTTATAAAACATTGATTTATATTAGTTACAGACTTCCAAATAATAAAAGTTATCAGTTTTGTCAAAAATTTCCGTATTAGAGCAAGCAGAAGCAAACAAACATTCAATACAGCATAATATTTATATACTGAAACAGCAATACTACACTGACCATTAAACAATGCTCTTCATATCTTCGAGTACTCACCTTGCTTCCTGGAAGTGGCTTGGTATGACAAACGGGTCGGTTTGTGCCCGTGACACAAACACCTCGTTGTCGAGGCCAACCGAGAAGGCATCGCAACTGGGACAAATCCCTCAGGAGTGGGAAGCAGGAGGCTGGGCACAACATCACCGCAACCCTACAATAACGCTCCACTCAAAAATCTTTGCCTCGACGGACAAAATTAGCCTACCCTAATTCTAGCTTCAGTCTCCAAAATAACCCTCCAAAATAAACAAGATGACTATTTGGGGTCTGTTGGTTCACATGCAGCTAACGTCGAAAGTCTGAAATGTTCGAAATTGGGAAGAATGAACCCACTGACCTACAATAAGTCGAGAAGGCAAACTGAACACACTGTACTCTCTCACTCGAGCGAAAACAGACTGATCTCCCACGAGTGCATTTGAACAAGTGCAAGTGTGTACGCCAGCGCTGAGTAATTACACCAAACGCCTCTCCGTTTACCTGCGCCTCTGACAAGGATGCTTTTGTGCCCTGAAGGACACAGACCACGTTTCGCATCCACTGCCAAAAACTCAAGCGGTTAGAGCAACGCTGCCTCCTCGTCCACATGCACAAAAACAACTGCACAACCAAACAAACAATCTATTGATTCAAAACATACACCACGGACTGCATTGTGCCCTGACAGAACCAGACAGAGACCACGCTGTGATTCAGTGGCTCTACAGAAGCTGTCATTGTCGAAAAACACCTCAATCCCAATTGAAATTCTGCTCTCATTCCAGACACGATTTCTTATTCCCGAGTTTTCAGGAAAAGCACAGACTAAATCAGGCTCGTTCTCAGCTCTCCATGAACTGCAGATTCCGGTTCAAATTGATCAGCTTTTAAAGACTGTCAGGCGAGATGTTGTGGTCGCAGTAAAGCCTCGAGCTCTGCTCAATCTGTCCGAGATCCTACAGGCGAGTGCAATCCCTGCCAAACAATGTTTTCTCCTTTCTTTCTTTCGCTCTCCGTCTCTCGTCTGTTGTTGCTGCGCTCTGGAGGGTGAAACTCAGCAGAGCTGCGGACGCAGAAAAACATTGTGGACTGCAGTACTGGCAGCGCAGCTCGCGTGCACACGACAGGAGGGGGAGGAGTGTGTGTGTGTGTGTGTGTGTGTGTGTGTGAAGGGGGGCTCTCAAATCTCCATTCCTCTGCTGTTTTTTTTCACATCTCTCATGCCTGTAGCACAGCCATTTGGGGACTTGAAGCTGAATGTAATCTACAGGTCTTTCATGTTAGATTTGGGCGCATTTATTCCCTGTGGCTCTTTGAAGGGCAGATATGAGAACGTTCTGTATGCATATATACTTAGGGAAAAGATGAATGTACGTGCATTTTGGGGATGGGAGACCGATGTGAATAACATAATCAGACATGTTTATGTAGATGTTTTTAATGTTTTTTTTTTTTAAATAAGTCATCCAGGCTGCATTTATAAGACCAACATAAAATCAGAACAGTTAGTATCACTTGAAATAACTCTAAGTTACTACTGTGATGGCATTTTCAGTACCATTACTGCAATGTTTTTATCATCATCAACAGTGTTGAAAAGATCAATGTTTGCTACATAATATTTTTTTGTGGAAAATATTTTTTATTTAAAATATATTTTTATGATTGTTAATAATAGCATTTATTGGCTCATTAATCATATTAATTCGATTTATTTAAAACCATCTGCACTGGTTGTTTTTATTAGCTGCACTAAAGTAATTAGCAGGTCCACGCGGAATCTGCACACATATAGAAATCCACAGATTGTTGACCCTGTCATTCAGTCTATTTCCTCATCTAAATGCGTTGAAAATATTCAGAATTATATTATATTTATTTTTTTATTTTAGTAAAATTGTTTTATTAAAATGCAAATATTTATATGTTTTGTGTACAATGTGTAAAGCAATATTTTGTATGTTTTATTATAGAGACCTGCTTCATTTAACCATTTAACACACAAGTGGGTCTAACTAAATTTGTATTGTTATTCTTAAATAACAGCTCCTATACTCCTAAAATCGCTCTGCATAAATCCAAAATGTATGTACGCACATGCATACATTTTTTTTTTTTACAAAACTTCTGTGCAGAAATAGCAAAAAAAAGTCTCTGTAAATCAATCTGACTGTTAAATAAAAAAATAAATACATATTTAAAATTTATTTATAGTATTTTTTCCCCCTATTTTTTCTAACGTTTGTATTTCCACTTGTTAAATCTAATGTCACTCGTCACAGTTTCTGGGTTCAAACGCTCTATCAGATGCCAAAAGCGACAACAAAAGGCTACTAATATACGCTCTCAGCGTGCTGTAATCCTGTTAGAAATCATGATCGTAATGTTTATACCCATGCCTAATCTCAGAATCAGAAAATATAAATTGTTAAATGCAGCAAGTCCAGAGACTGTAGTGAACACAATCATTCTGTAAAAGATGCTTTTTATTATTCATGAACACAGATACTGAGAGAAATTTATTAATGTAAATCTAGAAACTATTCTGTACGTCACAACCTAAAGAGATGGTTCAGCCAAAAATTAAAATTGTCATTTTGTCAAATTGTCAAAAAATTGTCAAATAATCTTAAATTGTCAAATTGTCATCATTTACTCAAGACGTTCAAACCTTTGCCAGTTTCTTTCTTCTGTTCAACAGAAAATAAGATATTTTGAAAACCACTGACTTGTTTTTCCTATGGATGTCAGTGGCTACTAAATAGATAAAACAAAGGTTTTAAACGACTTTAGTAAATAGTAGGCATGGGACGATAACTGGTTTTAATGTTCAGGGCGGTTTTAAAATGTCTAATTGTGCGTTCGCACTAAATGCGGGAGAGCATCAATATAGCGTAAGTCATTCATTTTCAATGGAGAAGGTGTTGATGAGTATGTGCATGTTTGCCCGTTTGGGCTTTGAGGAGAGTTGAAATCAAGTCAACTTATGGTAAAACGCTATGACGCAGTTCTGCGGCAAGCAATCGAAATGTAGATGTCCACTGCTTGAGAGGAGTCCAGAGAACACAGGCTTGTGAACTTTGGTTGCGACCACAGTTGTTCCAAAGGGTTTGATTACTACAGTGGCCGGAAGTTTTCTTACAGGGACATACATAAAAAAAAGTTACTGGCGAGTTGATGTGCATTAATGTTATTTTTTTTCTTTAAAAATGGCGGGAATCTTATGCTAACGATAAGGACAATACAAACCGGGGGTCTGTTCTTCGTACGTGGATTACTCAGTTAGCTGGATTTGGATATTGACGATTTGACACGATCCAGGATCGTTTCGTTCTTCAAAGCTGATCTGAGAGTTGTTGTCATGGCAACAGATCTGCTAGGTCAAACCTGATCGGGAGCAGGTTCAATTCATATAAACAGGATTAGATCGGCTCAGTTCAAGCAAAGATAATACAGTAAGTATTATTACTGTTCCGAATTCTGATATTTTCTTACAGTAGTAGTTATATACACTTGGGAAAATGGTACATATTTTTTAACTATATATATAAAGTTATAGTCATTAATAAAATAAATAAAGTTATACATATAAATAAAACGTATGCAATCTGCACCCTCGAAATGAAAGTACAAAGACTGCCATCTGGTGGTGCAAAGAGAAAACTTATTGATATGAACTTTTTAGATCGCTTTAGTACAAATTGTGTATAATAGAAATGCACAATATGTGACTTTTTTAAAGCAATAATACATTAATGCAGTCATAAACATGTTTTGACAGTTAATATGCCGGTGATTTGATGCTTCACAAAAGTTGCAGACACCTTTACCAATATCAAAATGCTTTTGTAAACAACCAGTTATTCTTTACACCGATTAAAAAACAGCGACTATAATAAAGAAAATATTTTCTAAATGTAGAACTAAATACATTGATATACATTGAAATACATGATGAATACTCTTGACACATGAAAGTGTAAAGCCTGCAGCTCACAACAAATGTGGAAGGTTATTGCGTGTCATATTTAACAAGCCGATTACTGCTAATTTGATGTAACTTTGCTCACATGGATAATTGAATATTAATCAGATGATGTCATTACGCTGCTGTGCCGTCAGCCAATCGTTGCATTGATGATCATGATTTCGAGGATCGATAGATCTGTCCTTCACAACACACGCAGCGATCTCAGATCAGTTCATCTAGACATTCTAATCTGATTCGCGAAATTGTTTAAAGAACCAAATTAGCGAGAGATCAGTTATCAAGATTAAAAGATCCAGGATCTGCCAAATCATCTTAGATCATTTAAGCGAGGTACGAAGAACGGACTCCAGTATTGCTGCTTCAAAATATTTTAGACATTGACCCATATTGAATAAGTGGAGCAAAGCTACACGACACACAACAACTTGATTTTCCATAGTTAAATTAATTCAAATCAACATTTTCACGCGAGAAATCTTTTTTTTTTTTTTTTTTATGCTGGAATGTAACTGATTTGCTGCATTGGCCATTTTAAATACAAGATCAATGTAGCTAATTTTGATGCTAATTTATAGCTCTCTCAGCCTTTAGTGTGAACGCACAGTAAAATTTTCTGTTATACCATTTTACGGTACATGTACGTTTTTTACATGTTTTATGACTATATTATTTAGTTTTTTACAGCAACAGTATCTCCAGCAGAAATAGACATGAAAAGTTACTGGTCAGCCCAGTACCTCGGCAAACATTTGGAAAAACAAATCTCTTATACACGAACATCCATGCATGCTATGGACCTGAACAGTGCAGTGGCTTACTTTATATCCATAAAAAAGAAAGATATCCAAAGATGCTGTTTTAAAATGTAAAGAAATCTGTGTTTTTGAAACTAATAAAGACAGCAGAAGTCAATGATTTATTTGAATTAATCAGCCTGACATGTTTCCTGCTGTTAAATGTAGTTTTTTTTACAGACATTTAAAAATAATTTTTTAAAGCAGTATTCACAATAAAGTGAAACCATGACATTTTTATATAAAGTTACCATGCCATCAAAATCTTATTTTTCCTTTTTGGGTGAACTAACCCTTTAACAATCTGATGGATCATTGACTGAAATCAGTCCATGTTCAGTCAAACTAAATTGATGCTCTAATAAACTAGTATTGTAAACAGATAAGCAAGTGACAAATATCTTTATCAGGTCAATAGTTACAATAGGTATTGAGCAAAAAAAAATCCCATCAGTGCATTCTTACTGTAAACAGCATTAAAGCTATTGGATTCCTGCCTTGCAGACTACAATTTCTCTCCACACCTGCATTCATTTTTATCCCCTATTGTCCATTTCATCATTCTTTCTCTCCTCGCAGTCTCCTCTGACCTCCTGCAATAGGATTTGAGCTCAGAGTCTGGATGCTTTCACACATCTGTGGCTCCAGCAGTCGCTGCCGCAGCTTTTATTTACATTCATGCACATGGAGAGACAATCTGTCGCGCTGCATTCGACTCATCTTTACCCTCCTTCACTTTCCGGGTGAGTGGTCTCTCACACACATATACATGCGCACAAACCTCTTGGCTTCTAGGCCTGTCTATTTTTAGCCTCATGATGACTGGCAGCACAATCAGGAGGGCACAATTAGAGGCGTACAGAAGACACAGACTGACACTCACATTCTCATTTGATTACAATGACATGCATGAGCCCAAGCAGAGGCTTCTGGGACATGACTGCAGTAGAAGAGGCATTTCAGTTTATATGAATCCTTTACAAACAGAGCCATTCAAGCCATCTGCTGAAATTGTGTTTATATCGCTATATACATAAAAATGGCAGAAAACAAATCAGTTTTGTCCAAAATCATGATCAAGGATGCCTAATTTAATTTAAACACCCAAAAAAAATAAAAATGTTAAAATAAAACTAAAATAAACACATAAATAAAACCTAATATTATTATTAAGGATAATGTATTACGGATTTACCAATTTAGTCTGATCTGATGATATTGTTATTTTTTATTTGATTTATTTATTTTTAAATACTTAGATAAAATAAACGGTCATATTTTATAGACATGCTGGGGGGAAATGCATTTTAATGCAGTGCTTCTTGTGCACGCTTTATTTTG